AATCACCAAAAGAATAGAAATAGAATGCATTCAAATTAGTAGGGGAGAAAAGTGAAAGGGATTTTAAAAAATCAATCTGAAAAGGAAAAAAAGATGGGAAAAAGGCAAGGAAAAGTATGATAAAGAGAAATTACTAAATAAGATAGAAAATAAATCTAAATATACTAGTAATGACAAAACAAACTGATTAAGCTGTTAAAAGACATTGTTTATAATAGATTTAATGAAAAAAATCCAACTATAGGTTATTTTATAAGGGAAAAAAATGTAACAGATTGGTTGAAAGTAAAAGGATGGAAAAAGCAGCACTGAGGTAATACTAATCGAAGGCTGAAGTCAAGCTAAAAACCAATGAAGGTGATAAGGGTGTTTCTTTCTCTGCTGAATAAGATGATCAGTTTTAGAAGCAGGTTTCTGCTTAAATATCAACCCCCTTTTCTTGACACTCTAATGTAAGATATGTTTCTTAACCACCTAGCCTACATAAAGTCTTTTGCTACCCTCTATTATGTATCCTAGTCATTTCTTTCATAGCATGTTTACAGATTATAATTACGTAGTGAATACTGGTTTATTATCTGTCTTCCTCAATAGACCATCAACTCTATGAGGGTAGGGACTCATCTGTTTTGAAGACTCTGTTAACTCTCATTTCTCACAATATATTACTTAAGTGACATTGTAATGAAACCCAGGAAACCCCTTCTTAGTATTTAAAAATGGAGCTGAAAGCCTGTATTCTAGATCTTGAGACAGGACGCAGGTTCTAAGAGTATAGCAGTTACTTGAAGATGCCTGTCGGGCTGTGAGAAAGGGTTGGGCTATGGCACAGACTGTTGAAAGAACTATTAAAAGAATGTGAATGGCTAACTCCAGATGTTACCAAATCTACTCTTTTCTTCCAGCTTGAATTACATCTTTTGGTCTCATTCTCACATACATGCTTTAAGCTATCCTTTTATACTTTGTGATCGTATGTAACACAAATACAGTTCCCTCAAAATTTAAGAACAGTGGAATAATGTTGAATTCAGAGGAGCCAACCAGGTAGGTATTGTAGAAAAAAACTAGTTTACATTTCAGCAACTATTAAAATTCATCAGAAAACTAAGCCGATCCTTTTATCTTACTGGTAGGTAATGGATGTGAATGGGCATTAAACCCTTACAACAGACCTAGCTGGCTTCAAAGCAAGAAGCTGGGATGACAGCTGTGTAGTGTCAATAGGACATCCATGAAGGAACAGGTCAGGTTATACCTGGTCTGTATGATGCAACCCTTGCTTCAACTGCAATTTTGCAAACTATAAGTGAACATAATGAAGATAAAAGTTATTAAAAAAAAAGGGAAAACCACTTGAAAGGCACATGTGTTCCTGTCCTCAACCTCCCAAATACTAGGCATCTCATGAGGCACTTCTTATATATGACTTTTCTTTCCAGTGTAACTTAGAAGGTAAGTTGGAGAAAACACCTTTGGTATGTATCAAAATACTCTACATGGAATATGGGGGAAGCAATATATCTAAATTGCAGAAACGTGGGATAATCTATTAGAAAGGTAAATTGTATACTTTCTTGCCATCCTAAAGAATAAATAAAAACACTGTTTTGGGTAGAGTTCCATTCAATAATATTAAATTATTTAAAATTATACTATCTTTTTGAGTCTTCCTAATCTATTGCTTCTGAAAACATGTGAAATTATGTTATGATACAATGGGAAGGGATGGCATGTGAAGTCAGTTACACTGGGTTTGATTTCTAATTGTGTCACTTACTAGATATGTGATTTTGGGCAAAACCTCTCTGAATTTATCTCCATGTTTGTAAAATGGGAACACTTTCATAGATGGCAATACACTATACAGTGCACTAATATGGTAGCCTTGTGGCTACTGAGCACCTGGTATGTGGCTGGCATGACTGAGGAACTCAATTTATAATTATATTTAATTAATTTAAATTTAAACAGCCACATGTGGCTTGTGGCTGCTACACTGGATAGCACAACATAAAGCCATGAAAGTGTGTTTCTTGAGGCTTTAAATCTTTAGGGGAACCACGAGAAAGTATAAAAAACAACAGTAACCTTCTCTACAAGTTTAACCCAAAAAGCAGTTAACTGAAATAGTGTAGACAGCCTTTGTGGTCAAATATATCTGGATTTGAATGCCCTGTCTGTGTGACCCAAGCCAATTTCCCCCAAACACTGAAACCTTAGACTCCCTATCCGAAGGATGGGAACACTGTGGAAATGACAAAGTAATGGATCTGATGGAGTATTAGGTGCTTAACAAATCTGGTCTCCTTTCTCCTCCCACATTCATTGTTTCTTAAGATGAACCACTTTCCTCACATGCTGGCCAAGTGCCGGAACCGTTACTAAATTTAATATTGACAAATGTAGTTAATGCCAACTGCTTGCCAACATGTGTTTATCCACTAAATTGTCAATAATTTTTTTAAAACCTGAACTTTAAAAATGGCCAAAAAAGTATCTTCAACATAGGAAAAAACTCAGAAAACAATCTTTAACTCTAAAACCATTATTGTAAAATGGAAGTAGATATTGTCTAGGCATAGAAACTAGGTTTTCTGGCTCCCTTAGGTTATTCTTTCAAGCTACTGAGATTCTCAGATAAGGAATACTGCTTCTGAATTATTTTGCTACAAAACTGCTTCACTGATTTGAGGATGAAAATAAAAATTAAAAAACCAAAACTGAACTTATATTAATGTATGTTTCATAGCCAGAAATTTGGCTTCAACACTTTTGGAAAGAGCTACTACATCCTTTACATATTCCAAGCCCATAAGATGATCCAGCTACCTTTAAGGTACTTTTTCAATAATAAAATATTTCTATTAGGATATTGATTAGTAAATATCCAGAATAAAATAATTGACTGTCACTCTTGGGCTGTTCATCAGGACCTGGGAATTGGTGAAGCTAACCTAAAACTGACTTCTCCTTGTTATCTGAGGAGCCCCCTCACTGCACAGGCCACATAAGGCTATCTGCATTACACCTATGACTCTTATCTTAATTTTTAATTTCTGTTGCAGAACATTTGCCACTGGAGGCTGCCAAACTGTCTATGACTGTCTCTCCTAGCTATTTTCAGATAGTGGCAAAGCATAACGTGTGAGGACAACTATGCCTCTTCCCACTAAAACTTTGCTTCACTGTCAGTTTAGATAGAGGTGACGAAGGCAGATCTTTTAGTTGGGTAAGCTCTATATCAAAAACCTAAAATTGTACACAATTTCTAATCACTGAACACACATTTTAATGTCAATGGGAAAAAAAACTTTAGGTACAAAATACTGTGTAAATCCTGACACAAAAAAATTTAACTACTGTATTTAATTTGGTCTATGCATTTAAATATTGTACTTTGGCCCTCATCTCACATAGGCTCTTAAGTACACAAAAAAATGTATTAACCATTTCAGTGGATATAGTCAGCCATCTATTTTTCATATTCGTATAACTAGAAGTAAATACTTTGTAAGCTATCTCCAACTTATGTTGAATGTAGACATACCAAAATACAAGCAACTAAAATAGTTCAATAGGTAAAATCTCCAATTTCTTATATCTGTTCCAATTAGACACACCAAAGCTCTTCTAAACTATCTTCCAGCCACCAAACACTGAAATCAGAAGTATGTGTTCACAAGTGTCAATAAATCTCAAGCACTAAAGCTTAAAGAGGAAACCAACTTGTTTTAAAGACTTGCCCAACCCCTTGCCTTCAAGGCTTAGATGTACTCTTTTTGAAAAAGTCACAGTAGGTCCCTAATTTTATTACTTATTTTTAATTGTAGTCACTTTTTAAAAACTTAATTAGTACACAACTAGGATGTACAATGTGCAATTTTATGGTAGACCAACAGGATCCATGAATCTGAACTGAAGTGTGTTAGCATCATCTGAAATGTATGCCATAAATACATTATAAAAGAAGGGTTTCTAAACACTACATACACAGTTCTGTGAAAGCAAAGTTTAAAAATCTTTTAAGTTGCAGAACTGGTGCATAGGGGTATGAATTTATAGCTTTTTAAAGTGTTTTTTCCTCCTCAGTGAAAACAGTTATTTATCAACGTGTATTTGAATACTTGCCTACAAAAAGGGAGAAAGACAGAAAGAAAAGACAGAAAAGGAAAGGAAGGAGGGAGGGAAAGAGGGAGGAAGGAGGGGAGTAAGGAGAAACAAAGAAAAAAGAAAAGAGAAAGAAAGGGAAAAAAAAGAGAAAAAGAGAAGCAGACAGGCACGCCTGCTGGGTATATGAACTCCACCCCCAAAACTCAGGGCGAATACCCTTGCCAGTCTTTCTTAAGATCTGCATTCTTGTCTGTCCTCATCCTACATACATTGTTAATCTTGGGAAGCATCTTCATACTAAAACTGGTTTTTAAGAAAAAGTACGAGGTGTTGCTTATACGCCGAGAACTCACAGGCTAGTGGGTTCGGACTCGAAAGTACGTGGCCTTATGAGAAGTAGTAGTGGGATAAGCGAGATCAGTGGCAAAAAGAGTAAAGAAAGGAAAGCTGTGAATTACGGGGCATAAAACGTGAGGTCCCTCCTTTGGAAATCTCCCCTCCCTCTTGCCCCCACCAATCCCAGGCATCAGAAAGCTCAGGAAAGCTGGAGGGTCAGTCATGACTGGCTACAACCAAAAGATTTTGAAAAATTCAGCACAAAAAAATGTTGGGAGAAGAAATGGGATGGGATTAAGATAAAAGCTGAGCGCTGCTTCATGGGGTGACACTGGGACCCCGACTTCAGGGGAAAAGCTTGGAGGTGCCCACCGTTGGGGGTGTTTGGGGGCGGGCCGTCCCAGGTGCAGCAGTCAAGGCGCAGGGGTCCAGACTTCGACAAGGCTGGGCCAACTAGCACAGTGCCCAAAGGCCTCCCCATCAAAAGGGGGGGGGCTCACGCTTGAGCTGCAGGGGGTCCTCCCCCGCCTCCCCTTCCAACTCCTCCTCACCAGGGCCGTAGAACTTGCTGCCTTTGGTCACGTCGAAGACTTTCCCATTGACCGCGAGCAGGATGCGCGGGGTGCGAGACCCGTCGTACTGGCGCAGCTGCTCCAAGCTGAAGTCCCGCTTCTTCATGCGAGGCAGAGAGCCGGCAGGGTTCTCCTCGCCCGCCCCGGCCCCGGCGCCCAGACCCCGTCGCCCCCAGCGCAACCACAGCCGGTAGGCCCCCAGCAGCACCAGCGCCACTAGCGCCACGTTCAGCAGCATCTCCCCGCCCCCCGTCAAAAGCGCCAACGCCGCTGCTGCCCAGCCGCCCCCTTCTGCTGTCGCTCCAGCGCCGCCCGGGCTCTCGCTGCTGCCGTCGCTGCTGCTCTCACTGCCACTCCCCAGGGTGCCTAGCTTCACGTCCCCATCATCCGCCGCCATCACTGCCCGCCAGCGCCTTCCTCCTCCTCCCCGCCCCCTGCCCTCCCCAACCCACGGCCAGCCCCGCCCACCTTGGGGCCACCAACCAATAACGTGAGGACAGGGGGCGGGGTCAAGCTGGCCCCCGATTGGGTGTTGACGGGGTAACGTTGTCTAGGATCTCTCCCTCCTCCTCCCTTCTTTGGCTGGCCGCACTCGCGTGCGTCGTCCCGCCCACCTCGCCCCACACTTCCCTTCTCCGATCTTCGCCTCGGCTCGCCGAAGTGGAAGAGTGGGGCGGGCCTGAAGAAAAGATGTAGCGCCGGCCGCGCGCGCGTACGGGCGGGCCGAGACTACGGCGCGTGCGCGGGGTTCGGAGCGCCACGCGCTCTCCTTTCCTTTGCAACCCCTCCGGGAGACACGCCCCGCCCAGTCCCCTCGCTGTGCGCGTGCGCCCCAGAATCGCTTCCTTTCCCAGCTCTGAGTTCGGGGTCCGCGAACTCCCGCCTCTTCGCTTGTCGCCCCGCCCGAGAGCTTCACGTGCTGCTCCAAAGCGGCCGCGGAGGCGGGGCCTGACCGGAACGCCTTTCTGAGGGCGCCGGACGGTGGCTTGTGGGAGGCCGTGACAGAGTTGTAACTGCTGGCACAAACTGGTGAGGGGTGTCTTTCTCCCCTGGGCGCCGTCGCGCCTGCCCGGAAGCCGGGAAAGTGGGCGCGCAGGCAAAGCTACCGCCCAGAAGTTTTGGCAACGAGCTGGAGTCTTTCTGGCGCGGAGAGAGTGCACGGAGCCCGCACCAGGGTAGTTTGGCATCAGGCATATTCGTGCTGTCCGCGCTGGCACCCAGCAGCCACTCCTTGGTGGTTTTGGCCAGGGCTGTTCTCGTAGTGTTTTTCTTTCAGGTTTTAAACAAAAGGTGTCCTTATTCCTTAAATCATAATATCTACGGTGATAGGGAAGTGGGTAGGATGAAGTGGTCCTTCTAGAGTCTTTTACCTTCTCGAGCCTTTAAAAGACCTTTAATGTCACCTCTGAAATCTCACTATGGATGGACCCTTCACCTCACGCAGTCAACTCGTTTGACTTACTCTCCTGCCCTAGTCTGTGTCGCTGAGTCATCCCCACCCCCCACCCCAGAACTACCTGCTGTAAAGCTACCGGTGTGGTGCATGAAGGAAGGAGTAGCAAGGGAGTAACAGTTTTCGTTTAATCCGAGAAACCAACGGGATGGAGGAGAGACCTGGGCAAGCAATGGGGGCTTATGGTAGGGGCTAAAAAGTGCCTATTAGGGAAACAGCAAGTGGTTCATTTTGGCTTAAGTAGTGAAGAGGAAGCAAAAGTCTGGAAAACTAGGTTGTAGTCTTTAATATCAGGGATGACCTTGGACCTTGTATTGATTGCCCTGTTTGGAGGAGCCACTGAAGATACTGAAGGGGCAAAAGCCGCGATCAAAACTCTTCTCTGGAGGGATTATCTGCCTGGTGTATGAAGGATTGGAGTGGGGGAAAGACTGGGAAACCAGTTAGTAGGCTACTGTATTTGTGCACGTGAGGAAAATCAGAACTAATGGTGTCATTACAGCAGGGGTCCGCAGGCTTTTCTGTAAAGGGCCAAACGTGAATATTGTAGGTGTTGCCTGTCACAGTTACTTAATTCTGTCTGGTGAGAAAGCAGCCATAGACTAGATACATAAAGGAATGAGCATAGCTGTGTTCCAATAAAACTTTATTTATGGACACTGAAATTTTAATGTAATTTTAGGTATCACAAAATATCCCTTGGGTTTTTTCAATGATTTAAAATGTAAAAACCATTTATTTGCTCTCTGGAGGTACAAAAACAGCCCACAGGCCATCGTTTGCTGACCCCTGCTTTCGAGGTACTTTCTGGAGGCAGAGTGAACAGGATTTAATTGGGAATAAATAAGTGTCCATAAAGTCTGCCCTCTTCCAATGTGGAATACTTTGGAAGTGAAAGGGGGCAGTGTTAATCACACGAGGAGAACAGGAGTAAAATCACGTTATCCCAGGCAAATCTGAATGAGTGGTCATCCTAAGGTTACAGGTTAGAAGTCAAAACTACACTAGGGCTTGGTAACAGGAAATGGAGATGTCAGTGATGGAAATAGGGCGATTGGGAAGAAACTGGTTTTGGGGAGAAGATGCCAGTAGCAGTCCCAGGTGTCATACAGTTGGAGCAACATCAGCTGGCACAATGAAACCACCCCAGAGGCTTCATAGCAGGCCACTCTATATGTTATTGACCAGAACTAGGTCACTTAGCTAGTCCCTAAAGCAGTCGTTGACAAAGAGCATGATTGGTTAGTGTTTACCTGACTTTTGGCCATTCTTATGCAGGACTACATTGCCAGACCTTTACCATCATTGGTGCCTTCCCACGAAATGTCAGTAGTGTGCCCCAGGCGTTGTGACACCAAAAAAACAACCCTCTTCCCCTCCACCCCACACACACTCCCTAGAGAGATGATAACTGCTTGAGAACCACTGGTTTAGACCAATCAGGATTTACCTTGGAGCCAGATTATGTATGTGTAGTTTTCTTTTCCCTCATTGTTTTGGAGGGAAGAGAGGAATTGAACAGTATTGAAGTTCTGTTGTCAAGGAAGTGAATAGGCTGGGGAATTGTTGGGTAGGTAACCAACATTGCCATATGAAGTAAAAATTAAACTTTTTCTTTTACACCCTTGATAAAATATCTCAACTTCTCCACACTTGAAGCCCTTCCTCTTTTATTCTTTTATTTTTATTTTTAGTCCTCTGAACAACTCATTCTTATTCTAAACCCCCTGAACTGGTCTTGGGGGAGAGGGTTTCTTCCTTTTCTCCCCCCCAAGTAACAATCTCTTCTGGTAGGATAGTCCTCCTTTGAATGTTGCAATAACTTTCCAACTGATGGCCTACTCCTTCATTCCTACATGAAGGGACTAGTCCTGTATATTGATTTCCTTTATTCAGACACCTATTGCCAGTGATGATCAGCTATTTAAAGGAAAGAACTCAGAAATCTCAGTTGGCACTCAAAGCTCTCCATAAATCCACAAACGGCTTCCCTACCCTCTGCTTCCACAGCAAACCTAAATCCACTTTTTCTGTTACTCCTGACACACCCTCTATTACAATGATATATTTCCCATTACAATACCTAGTCCCATTCCTCTCAATTGCTAAATTCACTTCCCACTCCAAGAATTTCCTCAGGCTGTTACCTCATAGAGAGAGCCCTTCTCTCCTTTCCAACCATCCAAATTCTGTTACCTTCTGTAATTCTACCTCTGTCCCACACCTGTGACTACATCAGCTCAACTGATGTCTTTCTTTGGATGTCTATGCATTTCTCACCTATAACACCAATTTTGGCCTTTTATGCTCTTCTTGACTATTGTGTTCTTGAAGCTCTTCTTTGGATCCTAAGATCTCTCCTTCTGCCTCTGTAGATGTTCCTTTTTTGTCTCTTTTTCACCCACTTTTTCCTCCTTAGATTCATCCCTCCCTTACCCGGAGGTCATCTACAAACATCTGTCATCATCTACATTCTTTTCTCCTCTTGTTACTCTTTTTTCCTTGAGCTCTCATCTAGGAATGACTTGCTTGTCATCACTATGGAAGATATATCTCTAGCCCTGACCTCTCTCTGGGAGATATTAGTACTAGTCACCAAATATTTTCATCACTTTTCTCACTCACACAGTACACTTGCGTTTCCCTACTGCTTTCAACTGAACTTATCGTGGCCAGTGAAATGGAAGTTATCTGTGTCACTTCCAAGCAAAAGCTTTAAGAACCCATGTGCAATTTCTCATGGTCTCTTTCCTTTTAGCACAGTGATGGAATGTTTCAGTTATCTATGGCAGTATAACAAACCATCCCAAATCTTAGTGACTTAAATCAGTTACCATTTTATTATCTCCAATGCTTTTGTGTGTTGAATGGGCTCTTGGGCAGTTACCTCATCTTGCTTGGGGTCTCTCGTGTGGTTCTAGCCAAGCATTGTCAGGGGCTGAAGTAATTCGGAGGCTTGACTAGGATGCTAGAATGGCTGAGTCTTCTTCCTAGTGTTGTCCCAGGGCCTTATTCACATAGATTCTCCAGCAGAGTAGCCTGACTTCTTACACGGTGGCTCAGGATTCTCAAAAGTGCAAAAGCAAAAGCTTCCAGGGCTTGGACAACGGAAGTGATACATTCTGTTGGTTAAAGCAATCACAGGACCAGCTCATGTTCAAGGGGAGGGGACCTCCACCTCTTGATAAGGATTGGGGGGAAGAGTGCAAAGAATTGGTTGCCCTTTTTAATCTACCATACCACCAATGTTTCAAATGGTGGCTGCTTCCATTAGCTAGGGTCTTAGAGTCAGAACAAAATGGAAAAGAGACCTTGGCTAGCACACATGATGGATGAATGAGAAATACTTTTATGCAGTTGTAAGTTACTGAGATATTTAGGGTTGTTTGGTGGTAAATAAAGCCTAATCTATACTAACACAAAAATTAGCACCAGAAGCAAGGCACTGCTGTAACAAAAACCTAAAATAGGTTGCATCGATATATATGGATATGTTAAAATGTTAGTGGTTGTTAGGCAGCAAACAGCTCTGATTCATTAATGAATCTCCCAGCAAATCTAGCTCAGTAATGTGAGCTCAAGAAATATTTCTCAAATAAGAGAGACTGTTTCTTATAATTCTGTTTTATTTCTCTATTTAGGGGAAAACACTTCTTTGCCGCATCAGACGTTTCTTGAAGTATGATGGGAGTGCCACTAACGTAACACTTGGTACTCTACTCCAGCGATACTAGCAAGTTTCCTGATGTGTAAGTTTGGTGCGTGGAGCCCACCTTCTTCCTCTCCCCTTTCTAATGGGAGTCAGGCCACTCACAGAAAGTGTCCCTTCTGTTCAGCTGCTTCAAACCACAAGTTTCCCAGGGGCCTGACCATGCCATGGGAGGCCTGGGATGAGCTCACTATGTAACAAGACAGGGTCTCTAGGGGAAGGCGTCAGTTTTAGGAGCTAAGTTCACTGCCAGGGAGTGACAAAACCTGTTGTTTGAACTTTAATTCACAAGAGCAGGAGAGTTCAATGTTGGGCATTACAATTTTGGACTTTAACACAAAGTTAGTAC